CTAACCAGAGAGAGAAGATCAGCTGTACAACTTAACATTTCTTTTCAATAAATTGACAGCTAGAATGCCAAAGGTTTTAAAAGTTATCAATAACGCAAGTAAAGAATAGATTGACGAAAAAAAGGTCTGACAAATTTAACAGTCTCCGTAACACAGAAGTATACATTTACGTGAACATTTTTTTTTTAAAGGATATTAAGGTATTGATGGTTTTACTTACACAAGTGAACAGCAGGGCCCCGAGCGAGGCGTAGACGATGTGGAGAATTTTGTTTTGGATGAAGATGCAGAGGAAAGAGGCCAGGAGAAGGACAATCAGACAGACAAAAAGAACACCCCAGCAGGAAGTGAAGTCATATTTGCTCTATTTTTGAAAAAGAGAAGGATAATGACAATCAGTGGTGGTTACCGCATACAAAGGATGCATGGAAGACACTTGATAAAACCTCCTAGTTCAAACGTTCGGAAAGTAATTCTGCAATAGTTGAATGGGAAGGTCCACAACCGTGAACTACACTATGAAATCCTGACATGCTGTCATTATAAACTTGAGATGTTGTTTGGTAACAAAGTGTGAATACAATACAATACAATACAATAAAATAAAAAGAAGAAAAACTATGAGACTGCTACAGTGAGCAAACAAACCTGCAATGAGAAAAGCACAACTGTGAAGCAGACCACCGCAGTGATGCCCACTGCCATGATAACTGCATCTGTATCATAGTAGCTGGCGACCATTCCAACCATATAGGACAGACTCAGGGTCAGGATGGACTGAGAAAGAAGAAATACAGTTAGCTATATACTAAAACATTTAACAAAAATATTTAACATATTGCAGACAACTAATTTTTCCAGTTTGCAAATCATATTAAATCATATAAAAACTAGAACATAGAATACATAGAATAAAAACACGTGTAAATATAGGCAGTTGTACCAGTGCCACCAGGTTCCATGGGTGTTTGCGGCGAAACTCTCCACAGCAGCTGAGAACGATCAGTGAAACAAAGAAGACAGCGTAGGAGACATAGTATGTCCACTGATTTCTCCGTACAAACACTTTGACGTCAGTTGCAAAGGTGAAAACGGCAACAAAAGAGAAGGTGACCAACAGCTGCACGGTCAAGACCATAAACACCTGAGAAGAGAGTAAAGAAACCGTGTTTTTCTTTGACACACTGTACTGCTACATACACCATTTACACACACACATTTGATAAGACCATTTGTAGTAACTGTGTTTAATAAACATTTGTAATTTATTTGTGTGTATACTGTACACTCTGTAATAATGATGTTAAATGTGACATTTTTAGAGATTTTATTTCATTTATTTCCCAATATCTGACCATTTTGAGACTACTATAATTGCCCATTAACTGTGCCTGGCTGATAAACAAAAGTAGTAGTTCCCTATATTCTTTTTTAAGAAATTAAATTCACATCTATAACATTTATTGTTATATTACCTTTCCTCAATTACAAAAAATAGTTAACACTGCTGTGAGGGTTTTTCTTATTTTTAAATACAGCACATTAGATTTTTTTCTTTTGCTATTTAAGCAAATTGGAATGCAAAAAAAAAAGTGTTATTAGTGTCCTAATTTTGTCACCCATGGCTTTTCCATTTTGGCTTTATTTTTGTTAAATAAACAATGACACAGTGCAATATATCATGTGTTGTTGTTCATCTGAGGTTTTATTTTCCAAATTTTAAGAACCAGTTATATGTCCTGATAAGGAAAACCATGGAATTCAATAGTGTCCTAACTTCTTCACATGACTGTGAATATATATATATATATGTGTGTATGTATGTACATACATACATACATACACACACACACACACACACGCGCACACGCACACGCACACGCATACATATATATATATATATATATATATATATATAATATATATACACGGGTTAAATTGGGATTTGTTATGTGGGTGGGGCTCTATAGTTTCGAGCTTATATATATATATATATATTATACTTATAAGTGTGAGTGTGTGTTTTGTTTTTTTGCAAATATGATTTATTCTGAGACAATATTCTCATCAGTTTTCTATCAGCTGTGACACATAAATCTGCGTGTTTTTAAAAAAAATTTTTATCCAAGGCCGTTTTTTTTACAGAGGGCATTTTCCCACTAATCTCATTAGTTGTCATTTCAAATTCTTACATTTGATCTATAAATTCAATTATAATAATGCGATTATCTATACGTTATCAAATTAAATCATTTACCCTGAAAAACACAACTGCATTAAATAATATTATGAGATTATTTAAAATAATTTTGAATATACAAACAAGAAATGATGGTGGAAATTATACTTTTCAACGAAATTAAAACGCCAGTAGGTGCCAGTAGTGAGCATTTAATGAGTGAGTCATTGAGTCGTTCATTCAAACGATTCGTTCAAACGGCAGATTCATCAGATGTTGATGGATGGGCTAATGAAACTGACTCAACCGATTTTAGTTGTCATTTCAAATTCTTACATTTGATCTATAAATTCAATTATAATAATGCGATTATCTATACGTTATCAAATTAAATCATTTACCCTGAAAAACACAACTGCATTAAATAATATTATGAGATTATTTAAAATAATTTTGAATATACAAACAAGAAATGATGGTGGAAATTATACTTTTCAACGAAATTAAAACGCCAGTAGGTGCCAGTAGTGAGCATTTAATGAGTGAGTCATTGAGTCGTTCATTCAAACGATTCGTTCAAACGGCAGATTCATCAGATGTTGATGGATGGGCTAATGAAACTGACTCAACCGATTCGTTCAAAACACGGAATCAATCAGCAATGAATTGTCTGATTGCTGTAAGATGCGCCGTTTCCGCTTAAAACGTAAGCGACCTAATATTATTGTATTTGCTTATTGAACTGTTTATAGAACTATTAAACAGTCGTGATGGTGAAAATGCTGTGTGATGTTGCCTAACTAACTGCATTTAAAAAAAAAACAAAAAACTTTCCATTTTGAATGTTTAACTCAGGATGCGGAGTTTCTTAGTGTTGCGCGTTTTGATTTCTTCTGGAGAGGCTGCGGGAGCCTCGCCTCAGCAGCGCAACCTTATACTGTCAATAGATGCTTTATATACATTAGATACCCACTATTCGCCACTTACTCTAAATGTAATAAAATCAGATTAATACTTGCGTTTTGGTGTTTACATAGTTATTTTTGGTTGCTGATGTTT